CCTACTTTTCCTCCAGCCTCGCCCCCCATCAGGCATAATTAATGAACGGTCCCTTAGTGTTCATGATTCTCGTTTTTGACTTTCTTTGTCAACTTATCGCGCAACAAAAAAAGTGGAGATGAAAAGCGAAAAACACTGAAGCTAAACTGTTGCGTTTCTTTTTGTTACATCGAAAATCGTTTCATCGCGATTTTTTTCCTTTTTTGTTTTGATTTTGTTCTCTCCTTTGATCAAAGGGGCAAAGCATTCAGTCAAGTTCCCCCAAAGTCGCATTAAAACCTAAATCCTAACGATTTCTTTTGAACATTGAAGTCAAGATGCAACTGTTCTGCTGTAAAGTTCTTGTGAATATTTTTGGGTAGATTGACTCGGACCGAAGCGCGAAATTTGAACGTCAGGCCCGGCTGAACACATCGATTTACAAAGAAAATGGCCCAAAATGGCCAAATTCGTCATTGAAAAGCGCGTTTTACTCCTAATGTTCTTACCTTATGTAGAAACTGAACATCGGGCTTTTATTAAGAAAGGACTAAGCTACCTTTTACCGAAAACAAAACTTAAATTCGTTGAATTTTTCGACCATCGATCAAATCACTTTCGAAATTTTGATAGTTTTTCGTCATTTAAGTATGTGGTAACGAGTTCAATATGTATTTAGTATTGAGTGTTTTCTGTGAAGAAAAAATTGAATCAAATAAACCATTTAAAAGACATTTGACGTTTTTATCGCTGTTGGCTTATGAGGTTTAACATCAAAGAAAGGAAAGATTTCGTGTTCAACGGCTTACTACCAGCATGACGTCATTTCTCGGTGCCAGGCTACTCGACTAGAATAACACAGGGAGAACAAACTGTCCGTACATCAAACCGTTTGGTCCTCGATGAAAATAGAAAGCCGGGCCGGATTCAGTACTAAAGATAGATTATTTTTGTGTTCACAATGTTAAAAGTTATGTTTCCCAAGCACTTTGTTAAACTTTCAGTTTATTCCTATATAACTTCAGAGCTTTAAACTCGGTGCTCGAATTGAAGGTTGTGCGGATATTTTAGCGACGGCCAAAGAGCTGGGACTAAATGTTGTTGGAGTAAGGTACGTAGTCATAGCCTTGACATTCCCCTGTACCTATTTTATAGAGAGCTATGATATCTTGAAATGTAACGCAATGCGCAATGTTAGACACTGCGAATACTTGCTTCGATGCAAAGACACGGTGACTAGTTTCCTGCACCAACTTTATAGAGATGCCCTTGCATCGAAGAGCCAAAACAAACGTTGCTTTTACTTCGATAGATATCTGAATTACTCTCCTTTCAAAACAAAATAATCAATAGTGCGCATGCGCATGTGCTGCTTTGCAATTCTTCACATTCTTTTGTTATTTGTTTCAGTTTTCACGTCGGCAGTGACTGCTTCAATGAGATGTGCTTTAAAGATTGTATATACATTTCAAGACAGATATTTGATCAGGCGGTATGTAACAAGAAAATATGTTCTTTCTTTATTAATAAGGTTTTGATTTTCCTTATTTATTCGCCAGACAA